CACACACACACACACACACACACACACACATCTGCAGGAATGCCGCGGCCGCTCATCAGAATGCGCGTTGAGGTGTGAAAACAGGGCGTAAGCGCTTCAGCGGGCCTCTCCCGTTTCGAGTGGGCGGGTCGCGACGTCGGGCAGCGGGGCCAGAGCCTCAGCTAGAGCCGCAGACTACCTGGCGGTGGTCATCCGAGCCCCAAACCCGAATCGCGGTTCGATGATCATCTCTCCCAAGAGACAGGCAGGAATGTGTGGGATCGCTATCCATCGGACACGTCGCCGTCGCCTTGATGAGGCCATAGCGGGCCAACTTTTAGCGCCTTTCTTCAAGACTTCTTTGGGCCTAATAAATGACGAGCTTGTTGCCGCGTTACAACAACAGCAGCAGTAGCAAGGCAGCTTTTTCAAAAGCTATCGATCCGACTCGGGTACACGACCTGCAGGTCGATTACGAGCGACTCTTTTGCCTGTCTCCCTGCCTCCCTGCCTGCCTGCCTGCCTCCCTGCCTGCCGAGGCACCTCGGCACCTCGCTAGCCGTTTTGAAGTTAGGTGGAAGGAGGTAGATACTGTCGTTCTGGACGCAAATCGGCCCGGCGCCTCACTCATGTCACGTCTCGGTCCCGCGAAAGAGCGCGCGTAAGAGACTGGCGAGCGTACGAAAGCTGCGGGGCACCGGGACCGTGGCGTCACATAGGCGCCGGGCCGATTTGCGTCCAGAACGACAGTATCCCGGGCAGCGCCGGTCGGTAATGCGCATTGAAATGCGCCTACAAAGTAACACATTTTAGGTACATTTAATGTGCGTAATGCGCGCTTAATGCGCGTAATGCACATTAAACGCGTTAAAAATGCATTACCTTTTTTGCGCATTTTAATGCGCATTGCCGCATTAAATGCGCATTTAAGTGCATTGGCGCTACTAGGGATCTACCTCCTTCCACCTAACTTCAAAACGGCTAGCGAGGTGCCGAGGTGCCTCGGCAGGCAGGGAGGCAGGCAGGCAGGCAGGGAGGCAGGGAGACAGGCAAAAGAGTCGCTCGTAATCGACCTGCTGGTGTCTGTCGTCAAACCAGTCGGCTCATCCGTCGGTTGTTCTAGGAGATGAGCTAGAGACTTTTGAAAAAAAAATGAGTTGTGTAGGGCTTTTTGTCTCGTTGCTGTTATTGGTTTCCAAAGCAAACGGGTGGAAGGTTGCGATGCAGCATATCGTTATTTGATGATTTTTCACATTCTTCAGCCGAAATGCAATCCACTCCCCTTGTACTCCCTTGCAGACCTCCCAGACCTCCCGTCTCTCGCTCTTTCGTGGCATGGACAGGTGCCAGCGTATACACTGACCCTACGAGGGCGTATTTTAGGGATGATACTCCCCAGGACGTGACAACAGAAGGCGCTTGCCTCATCTGTGGCTGGTGTGTATGTGTGTGTTGTGTGCGTGTGTGTGTTTGTGAGGGAGGGAGTGTGTGTGCGGCGCACCAGGTGCATGTTGCCCAGGTTGATGATGGCGGCACAACTTAAAAGTGGAAAAGGTTTCGGTAGCCGAGAAGTGACGGCAGTCGTAGCACTTCCTTCTTTATCCTTTTAAATTGAAAAGAGGTGAGCACGCGCGGTCGCGGTCCACCATCGGTAGCGTTTTGTCAAATTGATAACAAGTGGCACACATTCAGCTGCCCTACTAATTACTACCGCCATGCCAAATAGAATAAGAGTTTATGTTTTGACTTAAAACAAGTGACCTCGTCCGGACGTGGAGAGATGCAATTATAATTGCGTATAGGCTGGTGGTTGTAAGGACTCTTCAAGAAAGAGGCAGTGACAAAAAGAGAAAAAGAGCAGGACAAACATATTATTTCTTGCGCAGTAATTAAATTGTACGAGTCGAGCTGCTGCGCCTTAGGCGATTTCGACTGAGATTCGTCGCTCGGAAAGGTTTGAGGCCTAATACTATTCAAAAGAAAGTGCTCAACAAAAAGTATACTAAATATAATGTAATAACATAATATTTAGACACTATTATTTTTAGTCTACTCTTCTTATTCATTGTCAACGCACGTTTTTGTTATAGCAGTCCAAATTTCTACAATATTTGAAACATTTTCAAACTGTTGTGACCCACCCTCATAGTGTATCAAATAATCTATGCTGAGTCGGTATACGGCCGTTTTAAACTCCCTTTTTTCATGATTAAAATTAACCAATGAGAGCAATGCAAAAAAAATTAAAAAAGAATCTTAACACTTGTTTTCCTTTGCTTTCGTTTTCACCTCCAGGCTTCATTTAAAATTCACGTACCATCTTTTAGCTTCAAGCTAATATATGTGACTAATAAAATGATTAGCCGGTCAGCGGGTGGTTCCTGCTTCCTTCTCGTTACGCTGGTAGATGCTTTCGTCAATCGGCAGGTGGCGCGGGCGGCGAGGTACGCTACAGACAGAAAGATCCCCCGGGATCATTTCAGGTAGCAAGGAATGCGAACGTAATACGTAGCTTGACATATCGGTCTACGAGAGGAATGGACCAGACTTATAGGTGGAACTAAGTTACTGACGTCACCGCTACATAACTAACTTTCTGCTCGTTCTTCTCTGTTATGATCTTTAGTCTTTATTCTTTTAAACTGTTATTCCAAATGCGCTCCTTGTCCAAGGAAAGGTCGAAAACGGGCCGCAATAACAACAAAAGACAGGGAAATATACAACAGTTCCCTTACAGTAAGCGCTTGATGTAGAGGAGTGTACAACAGGAAAGTTAAACACTTACAAGTGCACAAATACTGAGTTTAACACTTGCAAGTGTACTACTACTGAATTGAACACTTGCAAGTATTGAACTTGTGGTTGCACACTTACAAGTGTTGAGCAGCTGAACACTTGGTTTATCAGTGTTCATCGTGTGTCAGCTTGCACTTGAATCAAGAAACAATTTTTCTGTGTGCAGTGGCAGTGCACGTCAGTAATTTTTGGGAGCCGAAGGACAAGCTAAATGTAGATCGCTATCGCCTAAATACTTGGTCGTTAGGAAAATTTCTCACTGCACGACAGTTTAATGCGACTAGCGTTAGCAGAGTACAGTGCTGCACGTCCCCCGCTCCGCTGTCACGTATAAGGACGCGACGGCGTGTCCGCGACAAAACTGTCGATGGATATCGACATCGATAGGTGAGAGACGGCTTCATGATGGTGGTGAGAACAGAACGCAGGGAGAGCACGGGTTTGCACAGCCTCAATACAAACAGGGCTCTGAACGCCACAATCATTTTAGAGGAAATAGGTATGTGAGCCTTCCAGAATTGGATTTCCTCCCCTCACCAGAACAGGGTTGGCATGCAGATTATTGCCCTTTGCTCGGAATTCTAAATAGACGCGTCAGTATCGATGTGACCCAACGATCATATAGTCATCGTGGCAACGGTTTTAAGTTTTACACTTGAGTGGCCATACACCCGCGTAGAGGACGCTATAGTGTAAACATCATTTTACTTGTTATTAATAAAGAAATTTTACGATTTGAATTCGAGTCAAATCCATTTAGTTTTGTCGTGTGTCGACTAATTTACTTTGCGTGTGTCGCATTACTGTGGTCAGTGCATTAACCGGTGTGTCCGAATATTCTGTGTGTCAGACTTAATTTAGTTTCTTTAGTGTTAGTGTTGTCCCCAGTGTTTATGATTGAACTTGTGTCCCTGTTACGTTTTGGACTTTTTTAAAAAGAAGTCTGCCGGAACATCTAGACCTTTCCTTTCACTCAATCCCTGAACGTCACACTGAACTATCGAGCCACCACAAGTTTGAGTTCTAAATGGCAGAGGGTGAGGCACATCAGTGTTTTCATGGCGGTATTTACCCGTCGTTTCAAATGCTATGTATTTTTCGATTAGGTACGTAGAAAGCAACTGCTAGACGTTAAGATAAAAAAATTTAAGGTGTGAATGTTACTTTACAAATGTGTTTCAGAGATTGTCACGCACGAGGTAGGTAAAATAACACAAAACACGAAGGGAGGGGGAATCCTGCTCTCATTTGAGCAACGCTCAGCGGGAACCCAGGACAAATAATACGTCCGTCGCTTGCCACCCCGCCTCATCTCCTCTGTTGCTTTTGGTTAACGAAACCGATATAAAGTTGGCCACTTTAGAGTGTCGGCGCGGGTGCGCCACTGTTGGGTCCCAATATCCCTTTTGCTGTCCGAGTGGAGAGGTCCAGAGGCGACAGTTATTTTAATGAATACACGCCTTCGCCGCAAAAAGAACACGACAGAGGGGAGAGTCAGAGCCAACACCTATACCAAAGGAAGGAAGGCCGCAAGTTACCAAGAAGTCGTAAATAAGAACTTTTATATGTTAAATAAATTCGATTCATAAATCTTTTAATTGTATTCGCATTTAATAAGATGGGGTCTAGAGGTTTCGTAAACGGTATTTAGTATATACACAGTAGTTACGAAAAACTTTCTTTGCTATATGGGTGTGCAGAAAAGCTTGTTCCGCACTGACAGTAAGATATAGTCGGAACGTAAACATATGACTGACTGACTAACAAGAATGACGCGGTTTGTCCGTGCGAACCAGACTGACCGGCATCCAGCCGGGTTAGCCTAATGTGACAAGATAGACACGGCGCGCCAGAGGGTGACGCTGGACTGGTCCGGCGGGACGCTGCCGCCTCCTAATGCGACCCCCCCCCCCCCCCCGCCCTCTCT